CCTACAGCGTGAAAGGGCGTGATCCCTCCGCCGGATGGGATGCCAACGGCCCCCCTTGGCGCGAGGGAGGCTCGGGGGGTCTTGGCGCTCCCGGTGGGCACCGTCGGGGGAAAAGTTACGGGAGGGTCTTTTGGAATTGGGGAGGGCTCGCCCAGGAACGTAAGAGTTGCTCCTGGTGGAGGCGGAGAAGGGGGAGATTGGAGGCGTCCTCCTTCCCCCGCACACGCAGCCTTCATCCTGGGAGAGGTTGGAGAAGCGGAGGCTGCCCGGGGCACATTGCGCTCTCGCCCGACGTGCGGCAAAGGGACGCTGGATTGAGGCACCCGGCGGGCGGCCTTTGCCTGGAGATCAAGCGCAACCCCCCGGCGGGGGCCCTCGCGGGTGCGGAGTGGGGTGCATCTGAATGCAGCTTCGCCTCCCCCCCCCAGCTTCCTCCCTGCATCGCTCAGTTGTTTGCTCCAGGCACACGTGGGCGGCTGGTGTCTCTTCCTGTCTTCGACAGACCCCTTCTTTTTCCCCAAATCTTCCTGTGTTCGGGGGAGGACGAGCGTGACAAGTGGAGTTTAGCCCCCCTAGAAATAGAACCGCCGTGTCTTTGCTTGTATGCGCTGGAATGAGGACGCTGAATACCTGGGGGGGTGACCTTAGTTTTTCTCAGCGCTGATGTCTGCTTGCCAGAGCTGAGGAGGTTATGAAATACGTGGGGGCTACTCAAGGTGGGGGGAGGAGTATGGAGGGGCAGATTTCTCGTTGGGGAAGGATTAAAGCATGCATACCAAAATTATTTACAAAGGAGGGGGTCCCAACAGTCCAGAGGCTGGTATTGCAGAGCTGCCCCCCCCCCGCAGCGGGCTTTTCCATTCCCTGATTTTGGACTCAGGCAGGCAGGCACAGATTAGGTCTCTGCAATACTCCCTTCTGGTTGAGGTGTGGAACTCAAGGCCACAAGACAGAGCAGTTTCTCAACCTTGACAACTTTAAGATGCATGGACTTCAACTCCCAGAATTGTGGTGTCCTTGGGGTTCTCTGAGCTTGGTTGTTTTCTTGCAGATGTTTCGTTACCGGGCTAAGTAACATCTTCAGTGCTAGAATGGGATGGGGTTTGCTTTCTGTTTATATACAGTAGCGTGCTATATATAAACAGAGAACAAACCCCACTCAGTTGTAGCACTGAAGATGTTACCTAGCCCGGTAATGAAACACCTGCAAGAAAACCAGGCTCAGAAAACCCCAAGGACTCCACAGTTCAACCCTGAGCTACATATATTCTGTTCTATTGGTACTCCCAGAATTCTCCAGCCAGCATGGCTGGCTGGGGAATTCTGGAAACTGAAGTCCACACATCTAAAAGTTCCCAGGGTTGAGAAACAATGAGATAGAGCAAGCTGTTTCTAGCCAGCTTGAGCTAGATGGGAGATGTTATGGCCTTTTCCAGGCATAGACAAGCTCTCCTACTCTTATGACCTCAAGCACTTCTGTGCTGGGCTGCCTGTGAATTAGGAACATTGACAGCTAAAACATCTGGAGGTACCTGTTGGGAAAAAGCTGCCTTAATTGGAGAGCTTAATGATTGGAGAGCTCTCCATTTTAGACTGTTTTTATTTTCTTCAGTGGCCACTCACAGATTCTGAGATCTATGGAACAGAAAATTCTCTCTTTTTACGATATCTGTTTGCATGCTGCTTATGTTGCCATAATGCTATATAAATATGAATAACAAAGTTCTTGGATAATTCCCTGGGAGGTCTGCAAATCCCTTTTTGCCCCTTTCCTGGCCCTTCCCCTCTGGTTTAACAGCTGTTGACCAACAGACATTTGGTCAGGGAATGCTTTTTTCCACCGCTTCCTCTCCATGCCTTGAACAAGCTTCAGCTAATTAATTCCTTCTTGTTGAGGTGCACTGTAAAACCACAAGAACAGCAGCAGTAGAGAAAGTTGGCAATTGCAATGGCAGCAGCTGATTTGGAGAGGCTGGGCAGGGACTCTGGAAACAAATCACCAATGTGGGGTCTAATAAGGTAAGCCTATCATATTTGGGCGGCAGAAAGCTGGATGACCACTTAATAGCAGCAAAGTATTAAGAGTTTTCTGATTCTCTTTACTCTTAGTGGACATCTGGATTTTTGCATCCTGGATAATGATAGGAGGGCTGTTAAGAACGCAAAAGGGCCATCACTCCAGGGCCAAAACAAAATGGCTAGAGAGAGATTGCATAGCAGTTTCATATTCAGCTGTACAAAGGTACAATGGAACACACAGTCAGAAATGTAGCACTTGTCTGCTACTCTTTAAAGCAGCCATGTCTTTTTCCCAAACCATGCGATAGTGGCAGAGGGCATTTGAATGATCCTAGGGTAAAAAACTAGACTGCTTTAAAGAGCTGCAGACAGGTGCTATGTTTGTGTTCCTGTATGCTCTGATCAATCATCTTTTCTGAATTATTTCTCCTGCACAGCTCTAGTAGCTAGGCTAATCAATAAGGGTACGCATGAGATAAAAATACAGTATTTTCAGAATGTTTTTAAAAACATTTCACTCTAGAAAATTCCTATAAGGTAGTCCACTCATCATTGTCCACATAATGCAAATGAGAAGGCTGAAGATGAGAGATACTTTGGTGAATCCTCAAATGTCACGTTTCACAAATTGGACCACATCCCCATATTCTCTGTCTTGGAAGTGAATCTACAATTATTTGGGTGTATTAATGAGTTTGCCTTGAAGAGGATGCAAGGCAACTGGTAGCATCTGAACTGTGCCCTGGACTTGTGCAAAATTGCTGTCCAGGAACTCCAGATGGTAGACCTCACTTTCCTAACCTGATGTCTTTTAAGTTATGTTGAATTTTGATTCCCACGCTGACCAGGGTTATGGGTACTGGAAGTCCAGCACATCTGGCAAGCATCAGGTTGGGGGACTCCATGGCCAGTGTTGTGTAGGCCAACTGGAGAACACCCTTCCCCGGGCAGGCCCACATACTTTTAACTTCCAGAAAGCTGTAAAGGGCTGAGTTTCCCCTGGGCATTGGGATAGGGTAAGGTTGGAGCATGAGGACTGTATGGCTTGGAGATGATGGGTCAGGCGCCTACCTTTCTTGTCTTTGGTTTTATTATTGTGAGCATCCCAGAGTTGTGTTTTACAAGATGGATGGTCATATAAATCTTATAAATAAATAAATAAATAAATCTGGGCAAGGGTTAATAGTGCTTAGTTGGTTGCTAGAGCATCTGCCTGTACTATATCTAGCTTTTTATGGCTCTTTTTGTCTGGTTAAAACCATTTTTTGGGAAAAAAGAAGAGCTTTGTTCAGTAGGTAGAGCACATATTTTTTTCTGCAGGAATTCCAGGTCCAGTCTGTGACATCTCCAGTAGCTAATATCTTAGATAGCTGCTACTGGCAAAATGTGGCCCTGAAATGCTGTGTCCTCTGGCTGTTTCAGGCAGCCAGTAAGTTTGCACAGTTTGCTTTGAGCACAGAAAGCCCCAACTTTTGTACTGTCATTTCCATTTAAATGATACTTGGGTCCAATGGGTGGGAAAAAACCCTGAGCTCAAGGAGAATCCCTGATCATTAGATAAAGTGTAGGCCAAGAAAGAACTCTGGCTTGACTCAGTATGTAAATATATCGGTGTCATTTATTGTGAATATTTTTAAAGATAACAACAGGACACTGACGTATTATTATAATATTATTATTTGGATTTACATTCTGCCTTTTTGGTAGATGCTCAAGGCAGTTAATGTGGGGATTTTCCTATAACCACAACCCTGTGGGGTAGGTTGGGCTGAGAGAGAATTCACTGGCCTAAAGTCCCACTGTGAGCTTCCACGGGTGAAAGTGGATTAGAACCATGTTCTAGTCCAGTGTTTCTCAATCTTGGCAGCTTGAAGATGTGTGGGCTTCAACTCTCAGAATTCTGGGAGTAGAAGCCCACACATTTTCAAGCTGCCAAGGATGAGAAACATTGTTCTAGTCCAACACTTCAACCTCTGCACTACAGATCCTCCTGTGCAGAGGATCCCAAGGAAAGGAGAGATACGCAAAGACCCTTTCTGTGCACAGAAAGTCAGGACAGTGTAGTGGTCAAAGTCTTTGGCTGGGACTAGAGGAATCCATTCATGCCCAACGTCTGCCAGAGAACTTTACTGGATGACAAGATAAGAGTTCTGAAAACTTTTATATAAAAAGTGTGTCAGGAAAACACTGAAAGTACAAAATGCTGTAATTAAGAGGAAGGAAAAAATCCCCACTCTACTTTGAGTAAAAATACTTTTTCAAAATCACTGCATTTTGGAATATCTATGTTAGGCTGGTTACTTAAGGAGAGATACAAAATCTTAAGCAACTATATTCAGTGCTTCTTTGGGGGTGCTTACAGGGAGAGTCAAAAAAGTCAAGATGGCTGCACGTTAAAACAAGGTGGGGCTGCAATTGCATGGTTACAACCGCCATCTTGGTTTTTTGGCACCCTCCTTGCAGACCCTGTTGCTCCTGTTTAAAAAGACATTTCTATAAATGGAGGTGATCAATTAGGAACTAAAGATGGCAGCCAGACATGAGTCAAACAATCCTTAGCAGAAGGATTCTCCAAGGCTCTTTTCTGCAGTATTAATTTTTCAGCCAGTGTTCCTTCCTTCACACATTTTTAAATACCATT